GCGGAGATGGGAGGGGAGGGACATATGTGTTTGGTGTATGAGTTACGATGGAGGTGCCGGAAATGTCGGAGAATGATGTGCTGAATATTTGAGGCCGGTGGGTAGGTAGGTGAGGACTAAGGGGACCCTATCATGGTTCCGGGATGAGGGGTGGAAGGGGTGAGGGCAGAGGTGCTGGAAATAGGGTGGACATGGTCAAGGGCCTTGGCTATTACTGTCAATGGGAGTCTCAGTCGAGAAAAAAATGAGGTCATCTCGGTTGCTCTGGCGTGGAAGGTTGCATTGTCAGAGCAGATGCGGAGGAACTGGGAAAATGGGATGGCGTCTTTACAGGAGGCTAGGTGGGATGAGGTGTAATCAAGGTAGCTGTAGGAGTTGGTGGGATTATAGAAAATGTCTGTAAAAACATTTTCACGGACTTGCTGGGTTTTCCCGGCTCTCTCTGTTTTGTTTCAGATTTCCAGCGTCTGCAGTATTTTGTGTTTTGTTGGGGTCTCCTTGCAGTTGAATTGGCTCCAACGTGACATGCCTGACAAAGGAATATCGGAATCGAGCCAGTCCTCTGTGGCGGACTTGGTAGATCGGTTCCTGAGCCAGGCAGGTCCGCAGTATTCCAGGGCATTGCTGATGACAGCCCAGCCAGCCTGGCTCAGCGGCAGGACTTGAAGTGGCAGACGAGTCACTGGGGCGCATTTACTTCATGGCTGTTTGTGGGACATTGCTGTGCGCAAAGTGAGGTCCGTGCTCAGCCACGAATACACAGTTGCAATACTTGACAGTCAATCCTGTGAAGGGCTTTGAGACGACATGATGAGGCTTATAATCAATTGCTGGGATCATTATTATTATCTTTTTAAAAAGAGTCACAAGTTATAAAAGTCAATGAAGATGATGATTAAACATAAGTGATATCGTGTATGATTGGTGTATCATTGCATCCAGACATGAGTACTTGTTCCTTGAGCTTGCCCATCACTGGCACCTTGAGGAAAATAATGTTCCACTTTGTGCTTGGCCTAACTGTAAAAGTTGCTTGGATTTTCTTTTGTTGGTTTAAGAACAGTTAAAACTGAAACCTACAGGACCCAATTTGTGTACAGTAATGGGAAAAAATGCATCATTTTAGCCAACTGTAGTTGAACTACTAATGTGTGGAAGTATAGCAAATTAGATCTTCTGAATTGAATTAATTTAAATATGGAAATAATGACAAAGTTCTGACATGCATTTTCAGCTTGGAATGTGACTTTTCAATGGTAAATTTGGAGCACTTGGCCTGCATTTATCCCTGAGAAATTTAAGTAAGAAATGTCACGCATTCTTAAGTCTCAAGAACATTTACTTATTGAAAGCATGTTGCTAATTATCCCACAAAATTGCCACAAATAGTCGACTGTATAACGGACTATGAGGATATCACACAGCCACAGTTCATAGTAATGTACAGTTGAGCTCTTAATATTTAAGCTCTTCAACTAAAGAAATGGGGGAGAAGGAACCTCAATTTTCCTTTATTTCTCCCATAATAATTCCTTCAAAAAAAAAAAATTGGCCTGTCGACCCCTACTCACCCAACTCCACTGGTTTCCCATCACACAGTGGATACTGTTCAAGATCCTGGTCCTCACCTTCGAAGCTCTCCATGGCCGTGCTCCCCCCTACCTCTGCGAGCTTTTAAACCTCTACCATTCTCTCCCTCCCTCCCTTCCCTCCCCTCACCCTGACCATTTCTCCCCTGCTCCGGTCCTGACCCAACTGTACAGCTCATTGGGACGTCCTCCTGACGTGAAAGGCGCTCTATAAATGGAATCTTGTTGTTGTTGTTCTACCAACCTGCCCGCTCCCTCCGCTCGGGGGCTCCAGCCTGCTTCACATCCCCCTGCCTCGCTTGCCCCACCATTGGCGGGTGAGCCTTCTGACACTCTGCCCCCACCCTCTGAAACTCCATCCCGCAGTCCCTCTGCCTCGCTCCATCCCTTGCCTCCTTCAAGACCTACCGCAAGACCTTCCTCTTTGACCGTGCCTTTCAATTCACTTTACAGTAAATTCTGGGAAGCACTTTGAGACGTTTCAAAGATGTGATAAGGCACTGTATCAAATGCAAGGATTATTGTTATCCTTAACGCTATAATGCAGGTTGGGATTTGGTTTCAGGTTTTACGTTCATTGCTTGCTTTTTGTTGAATTGTTTGATCTCAGCAGGGCATAATTGAAAGCACTTAGAGAATAAAAAAATTCTAATTGGGGTACACAATCCTGATGTTTGTCCAACGATCTGTGTTGGACAGGATAGGATTCGGTTCACTGTGAAATTGCTCACTAACTGGGTTCCAACACAAAGAAGCTCATTTGATTAAGGTGCCAGAGGTGTATCCCAATATAATTTGCTTTCTGAAATCTATACGATAACAGTGACAGTGATAACAGTCTCAGAGAAGGACAACAAAAGGCATTAAACTAATACATGAGATTGAATATCGAAGCATTGAGAGAAATTGCAGAAGCTGGAAATGCTGAACTTAGAGAACGGAAAATTGGGGGTGATCTTATTGAAGTCTTAGAGATCTTAAGGACAAATACATTATTCTATATGGATACAATAAGTGGGTCAAATTCAGCAGGGAAAAGAGTGAATAGATAGCTTAGACTTAACTACATTCTACAAAAGGTGGTTAAAATGCTTAAGCTTGCCCACGAAATTTAGAAAATTTCACAGAAGAATTGAATAGTTATTTTACGGTGAAGGAGATTGTGGGTAAGTAAGATAAGGATCAACATATTTGAAATTGAAACCATACAGACAAACTAATGATCTTTTCTGGTTGTACCAGCCCTGGAATTGCCTTTCACAAACCTGAACCTGTTATCTCTTGTCTTGGCATATCTGAAAATACTGTTCGGCATTTACGTTATCCATTTAGTTTCTATAGACAGAGCTTCTATAAGGTTTTCGCTGAGATGGAATTTGTTCAAGGCTGAAGAAGCTTAGCTTATCTACTCGCTCCTCCAGCAATGGGGGTCAGCTTCGTTGCTCTACACTGTACTACATTTGGAGCCTAGGCAGCACTCTTGTGTCATGCAGGACTGAATTGTACGCATTACTCAAGATGTAACTTGACCAAGGCATTGTACAACTACCTCACACTGCTTGTACATGATGACCGACAAGTCAAGTAACCCCCACTCGGTCTCAATCATCTTCCTTTATGGCTTCCATGGAAGACATTTGTCCCACTGGGTAGCAGTCAGCAATGACCTTGGCTAATTTTCTGCTTCTCAACCCCAGCCCAAGTAACTCCCCAATTGCTTCCCCAGCTGGATTCCAATAACTCGCCACAGATGAGGAATTGAACCTGCGACCTTTTGGTTTGTAGTGGCTTAGTGCTGCAATGGGTGGTGGCTTTATCCTCAAAGATGATTGGAAGAGCATTTCACACTAAGAAATACTTTCTAATAAGAAATTTGAGAATAAGAGCCATACATTTTGTTTCCAAATCTGTAGACTAGAGTCTTTCATAGGAGAATAGACAAGACTGTTATCTAATTATCCTAACTTTAACAAGGCCATCACAATGCGGTAGTCAGATGAATTTCTTCAGTACCAATTATGTTTCCTAAATTTCATTACCTTGAGAAACTAAAGTAATTAAACTCAAATATGTATTACTTTAATCTGCAGAATGTGAGCTTTATTATTCTATTAAAGTTGGAGAATTCATCACTCTGTCTTCATGTTGGGCTCCTATCAGTTCCTTAACCCTTTACTTATAATTTTTAGTACTGTGTATTTCTGGTTAATATCCACTATATTATCAAAAAGTAACGATACTAATTTAGAATAAAACCTTCCAAAGTGTCTCGGAGTGCTTAACAATGGCGGATGTTGATGCCGAGCTGGGGAAAGTCTCAGGTGTGATCTGAAGCCAGGCAAAGAGGGACAAAGTGGAGGCATCGAGGCCAAGGAGTTCCAGAGAGTCAAGACATAGTGGCTGTGGTGGAGTGGAGAGGTTGATGCTTTGATCGGTACTGTAAGATGCATTCTATCATCACCCTTCCGACATCTCTTATGACCGACTCGATTTTTTCAGCTCGATGACCTCTCGTCAGACCTTCGCCAGCTCTTGACGAGAGGTTCATCGACCTGAAACGTCGACTCACTTTTCCCCCCTTGGTCTCCGTAGACGCCGCCTGACCCGCCGAGCCGGAGTTCCCAGCCACTCGTGGGGATTTTTTTTTTGTCGTCCGTTTCGGATTTCCCGGCATCTGCAGTCGTTTGGCCCTTCTGTAATAAAAGTAGTTTTGGGGAACGGGGGAACGGTGGTGGTGGTGGGTGGGGGGGGAGTCGCAAGCGGCTAAATTAGAAATACGGACTTGGGATTAAGATCTCTCTTTTGACGAGCACTTTAATTCCAATCACTCAATTGATCAATCAGTCAATCAATCAATCAATGACTGTAACTATCCACTCTCAGCTCTAACTGGTGAAGGCAGTCAAGATACTCATGGAGAGGCTGATCATGTGGAGAGTGAATGGTGTGTGTGTGGGGGTGGGCGTGTAGTGTGTGTGTGTGGGGAGGGGGGGGGTGTGGGGGGGAGGGGGGGGAGAGGGTGTGACTGTATATGTTGCTGCCTGTGGGTGGGTGGGAGCTTTGGGATCAGCCAGTGAGAACCCTGTATGGGAGGGAGAGAGGGAGGGAAGGAGGGAGGAGAGGGGAGAGAGAGAGAGAGAGAGAGGGGGGAAGGAAGGAAGAAAGAAATGCATTGCGGAGACTTTGAGTTGATGGGTCAATAACAACAACCATCACAGTGTGTGTCTGTGTGTGAGTGAGTGAGTGAGTGAGAGAGAGAAGGAGAGAGAGAGAGAGAGTGTGAGTGGAGAGAGAGAGAGAGAGCTGCAGACTGGAGGCAGTGCTGGGGGTCATATCCCCCCCCACAGCCCACACCCCACCCCAGAGCCTCAGTGGCACTCAGTGAAGGAGGGAGGGAAGGAGAGAAGGAGAGAGGGAGGGAGGGAAGGAGAGAGGGAGGGAGAGGGAGAGCTGTGACTGGCGGCCCGCGGGGGAAGGATGAGATACCATGAGCCAGAGGGATCCTTTGGTGCATCTGTTCGCTGGCGGGTAGGTTTGGTTTGTTTATTATTATTATTATCATTATTATTACTCCCTCTCCTCTCCTCTCCTCCAGAGCCTCTCTCTGTCTCTCTCTCTCTCTGTCTGTTTGTTTGTTTGTTTGTCTCTCTCTCACTCTGTGGGGCCCTCTCTCTCTCTCCCCCCCGGTGTGGGGGTGGGGTGTGGGGGGGTGGGGGCCGCCTGTTGCCCGTTGCCCTTGAGCTTTAGGCCGCCCGTCTGGCGCTTTCGTAAACATGTGCGCACGGACCAGGCCTCACCCACATCCTCGGCTGTTTCCTGGCTTCGCTGTCCCGGCTGCAGTGGGGCCGCTTCCCGGGGGGTGGGGGAGGGAGTGGGGAGTGTGTGTGGGGTGTGTGTGTGTGTGGGGTGTGTGTGTGTGTGGGGTGTGTGTGTGTGTGGGGGGAGTGTGTGTGTGGGGGGAGTGTGTGTGGGGTGTGTGTGTGTGTGGGGTGTGTGTGGGGTGTGTGTGTGTGTGGGGTGGTGTGTGTGGGGGGAGTGTGTGGTGGGGGGAGTGTGTGTGTGGGGGAGTGTGTGTGGGGGGAGTGTGTGGGGGAGTGTGTGGGGGAGTGTGTGGGGGAGTGTGTGTGTGTGGGGAGTGTGTGTGTGTGGGGAGTGTGTGGGTGTGGGGAGTGTGTGGGGTGTGGGGAGTGTGTGGGGTGTGGGGAGTGTGTGGTGTGGGGGAGTGTGTGTGTGGGGGGAGTGTGTGTGTGGGGGGAGTGTGTGTGTGGGGGGGAGTGTGTGTGGGGGGGAGTGTGTGGGGGAGTGTGTGGGGGGAGTGTGTGGGGGAGTGTGTGGGGGAGTGTGTGTGTGTGGGGAGTGTGTGTGTGGGGGAGTGTGTGGGGTGTGGGGAGTGTGTGGGGGTGGGGGAGTGTGTGGGGTGTGGGGAGTGTGTGTGTGGGGGAGTGTGTGTGTGGGGGGAGTGTGTGTGTGGGGGAGTGTGTGTGTGGGGGAGTGTGTGTGTGGGGGGAGTGTGTGTGGGGGGGAGTGTGTGTGGGGGAGTGTGTGGGGGAGTGTGTGTGTGTGGGGAGTGTGTGGGGTGTGGGGAGTGTGTGGGGTGTGGGGAGTGTGTGTGTGGGGGGAGTGTGTGTGTGGGGGGAGTGTGTGTGTGGGGGGAGTGTGTGTGGGGGGAGTGTGTGTGTGGGGGGAGTGTGTGTGTGTGTGTGGGGAGTGTGGGGAGTGTGTGGGTGTGTGGGGTGTGTGTGGGTGTGTGGGGTGTGGGGTGTGTGTGGGGTGTGGGGTGTGTGTGGGTGTGGGGTGGGTGTGGGGTGTGTGGGGTGTGTGTGTGTGGGGTGTGGGGAGTGTGTGTGTGGGGGGAGTGTGGGGAGTGTGTGTGTGGGGGGAGTGTGTGTGTGTGGGGGGAGTGTGTGTGGGGGTGGGGAGTGTGTGGGGAGTGTGTGGGGTGTGGGGAGTGTGTGGGTGGGGGAGTGTGTGGTGGGGGAGTGTGTGTGTGGGGGAGTGTGTGTGTGGGGGGAGTGTGTGTGTGGGGGGAGTGTGTGTGGGGGGAGTGTGTGTGGGGGGAGTGTGTGTGGGGGGGGGTGGTGTGGGGGGAGTGAGTGTGTGGGGGAGTGAGTGTGTGGGGGGAGTGTGTGGGTTGGGTTGTGGGGAGTGTGGGTTGTGGGGAGTGTGGGTTGTGGGGAGTGTGGGTTGTGGGGAGTGTGGGGGGTGTGTGTGGGGTGGGGGTGTGTGTGGGGTGGGGGGAGTGTGTGTGGGGGGAGTGTGTGTGGGGGGTGTGGGGGGAGTGGGGGGTGTGGGGGGAGTGTGTGTGTGTGGGGGTTGGGGTGTGTGTGTGTGTGTGGGCGGGGTGTGTGGGGTTGGGGTGTGTGGGGTTGGGGTGTGTGGGGGGTGTGTGTGTGTGGGGGGAGTGTGTGTGTGGGGGGTGTGTGTGTGTGGGGGGTGTGTGTGTGTGGGGGGTGTGTGTGTGTGGGGGGTGTGTGTGTGTGGGGGGTGTGTGTGTGTGGGGGGGTGTGTGTGTGGGGGGGGTGTGTGTGGGGGGGGGGTGTGTGTGTGGGGGGGGTGGTGTGTGGGGGGGGTGTGTGTGTGGGGGGGGGTGTGTGTGTGGGGGGGGGGGTGTGTTGTGGGGGGGGGGTGTGTGTGTGGGGGGGGGTGTGTGTGTGGGGGGGGGTGTGTGTGTGGGGGGGGGGTGTGTGTGGGGGGGGGGTGTGTGTGTGGGGGGGGGTGTGTGTGGGGGGGTGTGTGTGTGTGGGGGGTGTGTGTGTGTGGGGGGGTGTGTGTGTGTGGGGGGGTGTGTGTGTGTGGGGGGGTGTGTGTGTGTGGGGGGGGTGTGTGTGTGTGGGGGGGGTGTGTGGGTGTGGGGGGGGTGTGTGGGTGTGGGGGGGGTGTGTGGGTGTGGGGGGGGTGTGGGGTGCGTGTGTGTGTGTGTGTGGGGTGTGTGTGGGGGGTGTGTGTGGGGGGTGTGTGTGGGGGGTGTGTGTGGGGTGGGGGGTGGGTGTGGGGTGGGTGGGTGTGGGGTGCTTGGGTGTGTGTGTGTGTGTGTGGGGTGTGTGGGAGTGTGTTGGGGGCTGAGCAGTTACTTGTCTTCATCATTGAGATCACTTTACCTTTACGCCGCGGCCCCTCCAGGGACTCACAGTGAAGACAGTGGGGGTGACAATATACAGTGATATATAATACCATACAATAATATATAATACTGTGTATATAACAATATATAATACTGTACACAATAATATATAATATTGTGTATATAATAATATATAATACGGTGTACACAATATATAATAATATATAATACGGTGTACACAATAATATATAATAAATGATACTGGGTATACAATAATATATAATATACAATGACATATAATAATGCATATTCAAAAATAATATAGAATAATATATACACTGTATAACAACAACAAAATGACATTTATAGAGCACCTTTCACGTCAGGAGGACGTCCCAAAGCCCCAGGTGTCGGGGCCCGAGCATGGGGGGAGGGGTGGGGTAGGGGTGAGGGAAGGCAGAGAGGTGGGAGAGAGACCAAAGGCACAGTCGAAGAGAAGGGTCTTGAGACCGGCCTTGAAGGAGGCGAGGGAGGAAGCGAGGAGAGGGGACCGCGGGATGGAGTTCCAGAGTGTGGGGGCAGAGAGGCTGAAAGCTCGGCCACCGATGGTCGGGCGGGAGACATGGAGCAGACCGGAGCCCGCTGAACGGAGGGAGCGGGCCGGTGGGTAAGGAGTCAGCAGGTCAGAGGGGTAGGAGGGGGCGAGGCCATGGATGGCCTTACCGGTGAGGACGAGGATCTTGAACTCGATCCTCTGGGGGATGGGGAGCCAGTGGAGTCGGGCGAGGGTGGGATCGATGGGGTCCCGGAGCCTGGTGCGCGAGAGTACGTAAGCTGCAGAGTTTTGGATGATCTGCAGCTTGTGAAGGGAAGAGTTGGGAAGGCCGATGAGGGAATTCCCATAATCAAGCCTCGAAGTGACAAATGTGTGGGTGAGGGTTTCAGCAGCCTGAGGGGTGAGGCAGTTGCGGAGGTGGTGGTAGGCAGTGCCAGTCTTGATGCGCGTGTGTGTATATATATATATATATAGTGTGGGCACAATAGTTGGCCCGAGGGAGCTGTTCTGACTAACTATCTGCTGTTGGGTGTTTGATTCAAGTTTGTTTTTCTCGTTTGCAAGCTGAAGTAAGATCGTGTTTGTGTATGTATACGCTCACACTCCCCAACGAATCTCTTCACGCCTTGACACCTCATAACCTCCACTCCACCAGCAGCGGCCGTGCTTTCAGCCACCGCGCCTCCAAAGTTTGGAACTCTCTCCCTCAATCCCTGCGCCTTGCCCCTTCCTTCCCCTTTGTCAGATCAAACCTGAAGACCTTCCTCTCCGACTGTGCTTGCGGTCACCTCCTTTCCCCCGCCCCAGATCGGGTCAGGCTCCGCCACTGTTAAGCACTCCGAGCCGCGGCCCTGCACGACGGATGTTATATAAATGCAAGTTGTTATAAATTGCCTGTCGCGTTTGTCCATAAAATACACGTCAATTTGGTGCGCCGAGAACATGAAAGCATTTTATGAATGGAGAAGTCAGGAGAGGGGGGAGCGGAGAATAAATAGACATTTGTGTCAGAAAAAAAACTAAAGTGCTGAGTATACACAGTTCGCAGTTGTTGTTTTCTGAAACAAATCTTTTGTGTTTGTTTATAATGCAGCAGTAATTCCCAGCGAACACTATAGGTAAGGTTGTTTGGTATGTTGTTCAGATGCTGAGCCTTGATTGCGAAACCATCTTAAAGGAATCTTAAGAATTTCTGGAATCGCATCAACGCATTCCAGTTGTTGATGTTTATAAGAGGGTCAAAAATCCCATTTCAGGCACATTGTTGACAATCAGGTGTTTGAAACACAAGAGAAACTACCAGCAGGCTGAAACAGTTGGTTATTTTGCTGGTATATTCTTTTCAGAGTTTCAAACAGCTGCTTATGAGTGATGCTGTGTTTATATTGCACATTTGGCAGTGGAACGCAACACCTCTGATAGTGATTCACGCCCGTGGGTCGCAATATAAATTTGGTGAGTACTGATCGCATGAGCAGAAAACTAGAATCGGAAGGGTTTGTTTTACATCACCAATGTGATGTGATGCCAGGATTATAGATCTGGTAGTCCACTCCAATGTCGCTACACTTGGGAGTGAAATGGCTTTGATATCAGCAGTTTTAAAACAATAGCTCTCCTGAACTGCCTTGAAGGTGGGAAGGGGCGAGACGCAGGGACTTCAAGATGGGGTTCCAGAGAGTGGGGTAGATAGTCCGAAAGACCAACTTGGGGGCGGCGGGGGTGGGGGCTGGTAAGATGGGGCACATCAAGCAGTCCAGAGCTTTCCAAGTGGAGGGAGTGAGGTTTGAGAAGGTCGCAGAGATAGGGTGGGACAAGACCACTGAGGGATTTGTGAGTGAGGATTAAGATCTTGAACTCGGTCCCCTGTGGGATTGGGAGGCAGTGGAGCCGGGTGAGGGTGGGAGTGGT